TCCCCTAAGTTTCACCCAAAAAGCCCCAGTTTTTCCCAAATTTCCCCCCCAAAGTTCCAGTTTTCCCCAAATTCCATCAAAAAAAACCCTTTTCCCCCAAATTTTCCCCCAAACCCCCATAAATGCATATTTTTACCCTGATGTCCTCCAAAAATCCCTGTTTTCCCCCATTTCCTGCCCCAGATCCCTGCTTTTGCCCCAATTCCTGCCAAATCCCTGTTTTCCCATTAATTGCTTCAAAAAAATCCCTATTTCTCCTGTAATTATTGCCAAGAATTCCCAGTTCTTGCTAAAAATCCCTACTTTTACCCCAATTCTTGCTGAAATTCCTGGTTTCTTGTAATTCTTGACAAAAATCCCTATTTTTACCCAAATTCTTACCCAAAATCCTTATTTCTAATCCCATTCTCGTAAAAACTCCCTCTTTTTCCCTAATTCTTCCCAAAATTCCCTCTTTAAACCATAATTCTTGCCAAAAACCCCTATTTTTACCCCAATTTCCTCAAAAGACCCCTATTTCCCCCATATCCTCGCTAGGAATCCCTATTTTTCCCTTTATCCTTACAAAACACCCCAATTTCCCCCATAATCCTTTCATTTCCCCTTTTTTCCCCTAAACCCCACTATTTCCCTCCCCCCTTCCCATAAACCCCTATTTTCCCCCCATATATCCCTAAAACCCCCCATTCCCCCCCATTTTTCCCTAAAATCCCCCTTATTTCCCCAAAATTTCCCCCAAAACCCCTGTTGACCCCAAATAACCCAAAGAATTCCCATTTTCCCAGGTGAAATAACCCCATTCCCGATGGGATTCCACCCTCACCCCCCCATGCCGGATATCGATGGAATTCTTCGGGATTCTCCCCCTTTTCCGCCCCGTTGTACATATTTTTTAATAAATAAAAGTTTTCCATGTTTTTTTCCCTTTTTCCATGGGTTTTCCAATGGGATTCCTGCTCCTAGGGGTGGATTTGGGGCCATCCAATGGGATTCCTGCTCCTAGGGGTGGATTTGGGGCCATCCAATGGGATTCCTGCTCCTAGGGGTGGATTTGGGGCCATCCAATGGGATTCCTGCTCCTAGGGGTGGATTTGGGGCCATCCAATGGGATTCCTGCTCCTAGGGGTGGATTTGGGGCCATCCAATGGGATTCCTGCTCCTAGGGGTGGATTTGGGGCCATCCAATGGGATTCCTGCTCCTAGGGGTACATTTGGGGCCATCCAATGGGATTCCTGCTCCTAGGGGTACATTTGGGGCAACCATTGGGTTTCATTGGCCCCCATTGGGTTTCATTGGCCACCATTGGGTTTCATTGGCCCCCATTGGGTTGCATTGGCCCCCATTGGGTTGCATTGGCCCCCATTGGGTTTCATTGGCCACCATTGGGTTTCATTGGCCCCCATTGGGTTTCATTGGCCCCCATTGGGTTGCATTGGCCCCCATTGGGTTTCATTGGCCCCCATTGGGTTTCATTGGCCCCCATTGGGTTTCATTGGCCCCCATTGGGTTTCATTGGCCACCATTGGGTTGCATTGGCCCCCATTGGGTTTCATTGGCCCCCATTGGGTTTCATTGGCCACCATTGGGTTGCATTGGCCCCCATTGGGTTGCATTGGCCCCCATTGGGTTTCATTGGCCACCATTGGGTTGCATTGGCCCCCATTGGCTTCTCCACCCCCTTTAAAGGCTCCTAAGGGCCCCCCATTGGGTCCCCCCCTTGGTGCTGACTCAAAGGGAACCCCAATGGGGCCCCTCCAGATGTTCCTGATCCCCCAAAATGACTCAAACCCGCCCAAAATGACCCAAATCCGCCCAAATCTGCCCCGAAACCGAGAGGAACGAGGGGAAATGAAACCTTGCCGATGACAAACAGCATCTGGAGGGGGGTTTGGGGTCAGAAAAGGGGGTTTTGGGGTTTCTGCTGCGCGTCCGCACCGTGGGGTGGAGGTTGGGGAAGAAATGGGTGTTTATGGGAGTTTTGGGGTGAAACGGTGAGAAAATGGGTAAATATGGGTGGAAAATGGTGATTTTAGGGAGTTTTGTGAGGGTTTGGGGGTAAAACAGCAAGGAAATGGGTAAATATGGGTGGAAAATGGTGATTTGGGGAGTTTGGGGTGAAATAGCAAGAAAATGGGTAAATATGGGTGGAAAATGGTGATTTTGGGGAGTTTAGTGATAGTTTTGGGGTGAAACAGCAAGAAAATGGGTAAATATGGGTGGAAAATGGTGATTTTGGGGAGTTTGGGGTGAGACAGCAAGAAAATGGTAAATATGGGTGGAAAATGGTGATTTTAGGGAGTTTTGTGAGGGTTTGGGGGTAAAACAGCAAGGAAATGGGTAAATATGGGTGGAAAATGGTGATTTGGGGAGTTTGGGGTGAAATAGCAAGAAAATGGGTAAATATGGGTGGAAAATGGTGATTTTGGGGAGTTTAGTGATAGTTTTGGGGTGAAACAGCAAGAAAATGGGTAAATATGGGTGGAAAATGGTGATTTTGGGGAGTTTGGGGTGAGACAGCAAGAAAATGGGTAAATATGGGTGGAAAAAGGTTAAATTGCTGGAGTTTTGGGGTGAAACAGCAAGAAAGTGGGTAAATAGAAGTGGAAAATGGTGATTTTGGGGAGTTTGGTGAGTTTTGGGGTGAAACAGCATGAAAATGGGTAAATTTGGGTGGAAAATGGTGATTTTGGGGAGTGTGGTGAGAATTTTGGGATAAAACAGGAAGAAAACGGGTAAATTTGGGTGGAAAACGGTGATCCCCCCAGGTCCTCCTCCTCTCACAGCACCTATAGGACACAAAGGGGCTTTGTTAGTGATGAATCAGGCTTAATTAATCAATCATCAGCCTTAATTAATGATTAATTGGATTTATTAACGATTAATCAGCCTTAATGAAGGATCAATTGGCCCTAATTAATCATTAATTCACCATGAGTTGGCCTTAGTGATTGATCAGCCTTAAGTAATCCCTCATCAGCCTTGGTTAATAATTAATAATCATTAATTCATCATTACTAAACCTTAATAAATGATTGATAACCCTTAATTAAACATTAATAAGCTTAGATGAATGATTAATACACCCTAATCAATGATTAACAACCTTTAGCGAATGATTAGTCCACCTTGATCATTAATAAATCTTAATTCATGATTGAAAACCTGTAATTAATGATTATTAACCCTTAAATAATTATTAATGATCCTTAATAAATGATTAATCACCATTAATGAATGATTATAAAGGATTATAAACCTTAATTAATGATTACGAAACCTTAGTTAATCATCATTAAACCTTAAGTGATTATAAGCAGTAATTACTGATTAACCCTTTATTAGCTATTAATAAGCCCTAATTAATGATTAATAAACCCTAATTAATGATTAATTAGCCCTAATTAATGATTAATTAGCCCCCTATGGTCACCTTGAGGAGGGTGACGCCGGTGCTGTAGCAGAGGCTGAGGAGGAAGAGGACGATGAAGGTCACGGCCGTCCATAGGTCACTGGGGCCTTCCTCTTCCCCCCCCAGTTCCTCCCCCTCTCCCACTGGGACCAGTTCGGGATCTGGGGTGGGAGAAGGAGGCTTCAATGGGGACGACACCACCCAAAACCCACCCTTTTTCACGGCCGATTTTGGACCATTTTTGACCCTTTTTCCACCCAATTCCTCACCAAAAGTCTCCTGTTAGTGAAGGGAACACAAGGTTCTTTGGTGGACACCCAAAAACCACCATTTTGGCCATTTTAACCCGTTTTTCACCCAATTCTCGACCAAACCCCTCCTATGATCGAGGTGACCATGAGGTTCTTCGGTGGCCACCCCAAAAAAGCACCATTTTTGGTCATTTTGACCCATTTTCCACCCATATCTTGACCAAAACTGGCCTACAGCAAAGGAACCATGAGGATCATTGCTGGATACACAAAAACCCCACCATTTTGGGCCAATTTTGCCCATTTTCTACCCAAAACCCCTTATAAGTGAAGTGACCATGAAGGTCTTTGGTGAACACCCCAAAATAACACCATTTTGGGCCAATTTTGCCCATTTTCCACCCAAAACCCATTATAAGTGAAGTGACCATGAAGGTCTTTGGTGGACACCCAAAAAAACCCAGGATTTTGGTCCAATTTTGCCCATTTTCCACCCAAAACCCCTTATAATTGAAGTGACCATGAAGGTGTTTGGTAGACACCCCAAAATAACACCATTTTGGTCCAATTTTGCCCATTTTCCACCCAAAAACCCTCTTATAAGTGAACTGACCATGAAGGTCTTGGGTGGACACCCCAAAATCCCACCATTTTGGGCCAATTTTGCCCATTTTCCACCCAAAACCCCTTATAAGCGAAGTGACCATGAAGGTCTTTGTTAGACACCCCAAAAATCCCACCATTTTGGTCCAATTTTGCCCATTTTCCACCCAAAACCCCTTATAAGTGAAGTGACCATGAAGGCCTGTGGTGAACACCCCCCAAAAAACACCATTTTGGGCCAATTTTGCCCATTTTCCACCCAAAACCCCTTATAAGCGAAGTGCCCATGAAGGTCTTTAGTGGCCACCCAAAAACCCCACCATTTTGGGCCAATTTCGCCCATTTTCCACCCAAAACCCCTTATAAGCAAAGTGACCATGAAGATCTTTGGTAGACACCAAAAACCACCATTTTGGTCCAATTTCGCCCATTTTCCACCCAAAACCCTCTTCCAAACAATTTGACCACGAAGATCTTCACCAAACACCCCAAAACCCCCCATTTTTGTTGTTTCCCACCCATTTCCCACCCCATCCTTCCCCACCCCCCCCACTATCCCCCATCACCTTGTCCAACCCCAACCCATCGATACCCATTTTGGGTCAAAAACCCCCTTATTTTAGTTTCTTCTCCCATCCGGATGAAGACCACCCCACCCCCCCGCAACACCGACCAAGCGTCCACCATTGGGATCATCCTTTATTACCCCCCCGGCCCCGGCCAATGAGAGCCCTCGTTAGTAGCAGGTGCCGTCGGCGCCGCTGAGCACCAGGGAGACGTTGAGCGCGGTGGCTTTACCCGAGGCCCTGTCCGTGCTCCTCCGGATGAAGGTCAAGGGGAGCCCCTCGTGGCCAACCACGCAGGAGAAGGCGTCCCCCCGTTGCCATGCCGACGCCGGTACCCGCAGCAGGCTGTAGACGCTGAAGGCCTCGCCGTCGCCTTGGGGCCCGAAGGTGGAGAAGCTCCGGGGGGGCACGGGCCGGTCCTGCTGGGTCCAGGTCACCAGGATGGCCCTTGGGGTGAAGCCGGTGGCCAAGCAGGTCAAGGTGGCCGTCTCCTGCAGGGACAGCTCCTCGGGGGGCGGCGGGAACACGTACACCGATGGCGGCCTCACGACGGCGGCTATGGAGGAGGTGGGACAGGAGGTCAAGGACGGAGCTTCCTAGGGGGTTTAGGCCTTTCCTATGGGGTTAGGCCTTTCCTATGGGGTTTAGATTGATCCTATGGGGTTTAGACCTTTCCTATGGGGTTTAGACCCTTCCTATGGGGTTTAGACCTTTCCTATGGGGTTTAGACCGATCCTATGGGGTTTAGGCCTTTCCTATGGGGTTTAGACCTTTCCTATGGGGTTTAGGCCTTTCCTATGGGGTTTAGGCCTTTCCTATGGGGTTTAGGCCTTTCCTATGGGGTTTAGACCCTTCCTATGGGGTTTAGACCTTTCCTATGGGGTTTAGATTGATCCTATGGGGTTTAGACCTTTCCTATGGGGTTTAGGCCTTTCCTATGGGGTTTAGACCCATCCTATGGGGCTTAGACTCTTCCTATGGGGCTTAGTTGACCATCATCTCCCAGTAGACCATCCCTATTGGACATCCCAATGGGATTAGACCCTTCCAATGGGATTAGACCCCATTACTTGACCATCCCCTCCCATTGGCCCATCCCCATTGGCCCATCCCCTCCCATTGGCCCATCCCCATTGGCTGCCCCACCTGTCTCCTTCCGGATGGCCCTGGTGATTGGCTCCTGGAGCTCGGGGGCGCTGACGCTGCAGGAGAACCCCTCCCCCGAGTTCCACTCCTCAGCGCAGACGCTCAGGGAGCTGCTGAGCCGATAGAGCCCATTGGGCAGCTCCTCCACGGGCCCCGCCGCGCCGACCAATGAGCTGCCTTGGTCCCTCCCCCAGGTGAACTTGACGCCCCAATGGGATTGGAGGTTGGAAACCACGCAGGTGAGGCTGGAGTTGTGGTGCAGGTACAGGTCCTCCAGGGATGGGGGCAGGATTGAGGCCTCCACCAGGGGCTTGGTCCCTGCAAGGGGGGGGAGGGGCTCCGGATGTCGGGATCCCGGCAAATTCATCCCATTTTCACGGGGTTCCACGGGTTCCCATCAGATTCACACAAATTTACACAAATTTGCCTCAAATTTCATCAGATTTACACAAATTTCCACGAATTTGCTTTGGGTTTTGTCAGATTTACAAAAATTTCCACAAATTTGCCTCAAAGTTCATCAGGTTTACCCAAATTCCCACAAATTTGCACAAATTTCCACAAATTTTCCTCAAATTTCGTCAGATTTACACAAATTTCTACAAATTTTCCTCAGATTTCATCAGGTTTACCCAAATTTCCACAAATTTTCCTCGGATTTCACCAGATTTACAAAAATTTCCACAAATTTTCCTCCAATTTCATCAGGTTTACCCAAATTTCCACAAATTTTGGTCAAATTTCATCAGATTTACACAAATTTCTACAAATTTTCCTCAGATTTCATCAGGTTTACCCAAATTTCCACAAATTTTCCTCAAATTTTATCAGGTTTACCCAAATTTCCACAAATTTGCTCTGGATTTCATCAGATTTCTACAAATTTCTACAGATTTTCCTGAAATGTCATCAGATTTGAACAGATTTCCACAAATTTTCCTCAAATTCCATCAGATTTACACAAATTTCCACAGATTTGCTTTGGATTTCATCAGATTTGCACAAATTTCCACAAATTTTCCTCAAATTTCATCAGGTTTGACTAAATTTCCACAAATTTTCCTGAAATTTCATCAGGTTTGACTAAATTTCCACAAATTTGCCTTAAATTTCATCGGGTTTCCCAAATTTCGGTCGAATTTCTCCAGATTTCCCCAAATCCACCTCAGTGTTCTCAGTGATTCCCCTTTTACCCGATTTTCCTCACGTTTCCATCTCCATCACCTCCAATCTTCATCCACCATCATCAATCACCCAGCTCCATCATCTCCATCCCCTCCAACCCCATTTACCTCCATCTCCATCCATCCCCATCCATCCCCATCCATCTCCATCCATCTCCACCCATCTCCATCCATTTCCATCCCCATCCATCCCCATCCATCTCCATCCATCTCCATCCATTTCCATCCCCATCCATCTCCATCCATCTCCATCCATCTCCATCCATCTCCATCCATCTCCATCCATCTCCATCCATCCATCTCCATCCATCTCCATCATCCCCATCCATCTCCATCCATCTCCATCCATCTCCATCCATCCCCATCCATCTCCATCCATCTCCATCCATCTCCATCCATCTCCATCCATCTCCATCCATCTCCATCCATCTCCATCCATCTCCATCACCCCCATCCATTTCCATCCATCTCCATCCCCATTTACCTCCATCCCCATCCTTCCCCTTTCATCTCCATCACCTCCATCCATCTCCATCCATCTCCATCCATCCCCATCGATCCCCATCCATCTCCATCCATCTCCATCCCCATCCACCCCCATCCACCCCATTCCCCCCCCATCCCCCCCATCCCCCCCATTCCCCCCCATTCCCCCCATCCCCCCCATACCTGCACAGAAGCCTCCGGCGCTCACCTCCTCCCTCCTCTGCTCCCCTCCCCGTGTGACCCCGCACGAGAACCGGGCTCCGCGCTCCCATTGGGCCCTGCTCACGTTCACGGCGCTCACGGCCCCCTCCCAGCGCCCCGTGCGCCCCTCCAGGGGCTCCTCCCCCTGCGCCCACTGCACCCCGGCCCCCCCGGCCCCGGGGCCCCCCAGCAGGCACAGCAGCAGCAGGGACCCCGAGGGGTCGCCATGGTTGGGGGAGGCCAAGAGCATCATGGACAGAGGGGGCGGGGAGCACAGGTCGGGACCTGGAACGGGGGGGACAAAGGGGTTAGGGGGGTACTGGTGGACATTGAGACACAATTATGGCCATTGAGACATAATGGTGGCCATTGAGCCATAGTGGTGGACGTTGACCCACAATGGTGGCCACTGAGCCATAGTGGTGGTCATTGACCCATAATGGTGGACATTGACCCACAATGGTGGCCATTGATCAATAATGGTGGTCATTGAGCCATAATGGTGGCCATTGAGGCATAATGGTGGCCATTGAGGCATAATTATGGCCATTGAGCCATAATGGTGGCCATTGAGCCATAATGGTGGACATTGACCCACAATGGTGGCCATTGAGCCATAATGTTGGCCATTGACCCATAATGGTGGTCATTGACCCATAGTGATGGACATTGACCCACAATGGTGGCCATTGATCAATAGTGGTGGTCATTGAGCCATAATTGTGGCCATTGAGCCATAATTATCGTCATTGACCCATAGTGGTGGCCATTGACCCATAATGGTGGTCATTGACCCACGATGGTGGCCATTGAGACATAGTGGTAGTCATGGAGCCATAATGGTGGCCATTGAGACACAATTATGGCCATTGAGCCATAATGGTGGCCATTGAGCCATAATGGTGGCCATTGACCTATAGTGGTGGCCATTGAGCCATAATGGTGGCCATTGAGCCATAATGGTGGACATTGACCCACAATGGTGGTCACTGAGCCATAATGGTGGTCATTGAGCCATAATTGTGGCCATTGACCCATGGTGGTGGCCATTGAGTCGTAGTGGTGGCCATTGAGGCATAATGGTGGCCATTGACCCATAATGGTGGTCATTGAGCCATAATGGTGGCCATTGACCCGTAGTGGTGGCCATTGAGCCATAATGGTGGCCATTGAGCCATAATGGTGGCCATTGACCCATAATGGTGGTCATTGACCCATAGTGGTGGCCATTGAGCCATAATGGTGGTCATTGAGCCATAATGGTGGTCATTGAGACATAATGGTGGCCATTGACCCATAGTGGTGGCCATTGAGCCATAATGGTGGCCATTAACCCATGTTAGATGCCCACCAACCCATAGTGGCCATTAACCCATGTTAAATGCCCATTAACCCCTATTAGATACCCATTAACCCCAATTAGAAGCCCATTAACCCCTACTAGATACCCATTAACCCCTATTAGAAGCCCATTAACCCCTATTAGAAGCCCATTAACCCCTATTAGAAGCCCATTAACCCCTATTAGATGCCCATTAACCCCTATTAGAAGCCCATTAACCCCTATTAGATGCCCATTAACCCACCTTGGATGACCTCCGTGATGCTGCTTTGGCTGCTGCTGTGCTCCACCTTGCACTGGAACCTCCCCCCTTCCAAACTGGTGGCCGGGACGACCAATTGGGAGCTGGCGCTGTAGGAGCCCTGCACCCATTGGCTGGGGAAGGTCTCGGTGTCCCCGCCCACGTTGGAGACCCAAGTGATGGAGATGGGCGCTGGGAAGAAGCCCTTGGCCAAGCAGCCAATGGGGACCTGGTCCTGGCATTCGCAGGGCACCAATGGGTACACATGGGGGGAGATGGCTGGGTCTGCAATGGGGAGGACCCATAGGAGTCAATGGGGATGGGGAGGACCCATAGGAGTCAATGGGGATGGGAGGACCCATAGGAGTCAATGGGGATGGGGAGGACCCATAGGAGTCAGTGGGGATGGGGAGGACCCATAGGAGTCAGTGGGGATGGGGAGGACCCATAGGAGTCAATGGGGTGGGGCCATAGGAGTCAATGGGGGTGGGGAGGACCCATAGGAGTCAATGGGGATGGGGAGGACCCATAGGAGTCAATGGGGATGGGGAGGACCCATAGGAGTCAATGGGGATGGGGAGGACCCATAGGAGTCAATGGGGATGGGGAGGACCCATAGGAGTCAATGGGGATGGGGAGGACCCATAGGAGTCAATGGGGATGGGGAGGACCCATAGGAGTCAATGGGGATGGGGAGGACCCATAGGAGTCAGTGGGGATGGGGAGGACCCATAGGAGTCAATGGGGATGGGGAGGACCCATAGGAGTCAATGGGGGTGGGAGGAGCTAAAGGGGGTCAATGGGGATGGGAGGGGCTAAAGGGGGTCAATGGGGATGGGAGGAGCTAAAGGGGGTCAATGGGGATGGGAGGGGCTAAAGGGGGTCAATGGGGATGGGAGGAGCTAAAGGGGGTCAATGGGGATGGGAGGAGCGGGTCAATGGGGATGGGAGGGGCTAAAGGGGGTCAATGGGGATGGGAGGAGCTAAAGGGGGTCAATGGGGATGGGAGGAGCTAAAGGGGTCAATGGGGATGGGAGGAGCTAAAGGGGGGCAATGGGGAGGGGAGGAGCTAAAGGGGGTCGATGGGGGAGGCCCCATAAGGCCCCATAGGAGAAGTGGGTTTGGTGGTGGCCCCATAGAGGAACTGGGAGCCCCGTGCCCCATAGGAGGAGGTCAATGGGGTGGGAAGTTCCCCTTAGGGCTGGTTCCCAGGTGTTCAATGGGTCACCCCATAGGGGCAATGGGGACGCAAGGAGAGGAGGAGGTGGAGGAGTGATGGTGAGAGGGTAAATGGGGCTTAAAATGGGGTTAAAATGGGTTAAACTGGGTTAAACTGGGCTTAAAATGGGGTTAAAATGGGGTTAAACTGGGCTTGGATTGGGGTTGAAGTGGGGTTGAAGTGGGCTTAAAATGGGCTTGAATTGGGCTTAAAATGGGCTTAAAATGGGGTTAAAGTGGGGTTAAACTGGGCTGGAAATCGGGTTGAATTGGGGTTGAAGTCAGCTTGAATTGGGCTTAAACTGGGATTAAACCGGGTTTAAAGTGGGATTAAACTGGGATTAAAATGGGGTTAAACTGGGCTTGAATTGGGGTTGAATTGGGGTTGAAGTGGGCTTGAATTGGGCTTAAAATGGTCTTGAATTGGGATTAAAATGGGTTTAAAATGGGGTTAAACTGGGCTTGAATTGGGGTTGAATTGGGATTGAAGTGGGATGGAACTGGGTTTAAACTGGGCTTAAAATGGGCTTAAACTGCGATTAAAATGGGGTTAAACTGGGCTTTAATTGGGGTTGAAGTGGGATGGAATTGGGCTTAAACTGGGCTTAAACTGGGTTTAAACTGGATTTAAAATGGGTTTAAACTGAGCTTGAATTGGGGTTAAACTGGGCTTAAAGTGTGTTTAAAGTGGGGTGAAATTGGGCTTAAACCGCTTAAATTAGGGTTAAAATGGGGTTAAACTGGGCTTGAATTGGGGTTAAACTGGGCTTAAAGTGGGGTTAAACTGGCCTTAAATTGGGGTTAAACTGGGCTTAAACTGGGCTTAAAGTGGGGTTAAACTGGCCTTAAATTGGTCTTAAAATGGTTTAAATTGGGTTTAAAATGGTCTTAAATTGAGCTTCAAATGGTTTTAAATTGGGCTTAAACTGGGCTTGAACTGGACTTAAGCTTTGCTTGAACTGGGGTTAAACTGGGCTTAAATTTGGGTTAAACTCAGTTTAAACTGGGGTTAAAGTGGGGTGAAATTGGGGTTAAAATGGACTTAAAATGGGGTTAAACTGGGGTTGAACTGGAGTTAAACTGGGCTTAAAATGGACTTAAATGGGGTTAAAATGGGCTTCAAATGGGCTTAAATTCAGCTTGAATTTGGCTTAAAATGGGTTTAAAATGGGCTTAAAATGGGCTTAAAATGGGTTTAAACTGGGCTCTATGGGGTCTCTATGGGTCCCTATGGGTCTCTATGGGGCGCCATGGGGCTGCCCCACAGCAGATGTCAGGCAGGAAACAGGAAGTGGGGGGAGGGGAAGGGCCTCATTGCACCATGTGTGGGGCAGAGCCGCTGCCATGCTGGTAAGGCTTTCCCTATGGGGCTCTATGGGGCTGGGGGTCTCTATGGGGCTCTATGGGGTTCTATGGGGCTGGGGGTCCCTATGGGGCTTAGGGGTTCTATGGGGTCATGGGGCTCTATGGGGTTCTATGGGGCTGGGGGTCCCTATGGGGCTCTATGGGGTTCTATGGGGCTCTATGGGGCTGGGGGTCCCTATGGGGCTCTATGGGGCTCTATGGGGCTGGGGGCCCCTATGGATCTCTATGGGGCTGGGGTCCCTATGGGGCTCTATGGGGCCTCTATGGGTCCCTATAGGGCAGCGGGTCCGCTATGGGGCTGGATACAGCTAAGCTATAGTGTGGGGTTCCTATGGGATAGAAGACCCTATGGGGAAGGGGGATCTATGGGGCAGGGGTTGCTATGGGGCAGGAGCTCCTTATGGGGCAGGGGTGCAGCTGAGCTGTACCATGGGGTCCCTATAGTGTAGGGGATCCTATGGGGCAGGGTTCCCTATAGAGTAGGGGGTCTCTATGGGGCAGGGGGTCCCTATAGGGCAGGGGGCTCTATGGGGCAGGGTCCAGCTGAGCTGTGCTATAGGGACACTACAGTGTAGGGGGTCCCTATGGGGCAGGGGCTCCTATGGGGCAGCTGAGCTGTGCTATGGGGTCTCTATGGGGCAGGGGTCCCTATGGGGCAGGGCTTTTTATGGGGCAGGGTCCAGCTGAGCTGTGCTATGGGGTCCCTATAGTGTAGGGGAAACTATGGGGCAGGGATCCCCATGGGGCAGCTGAGCTGTGCTATAGGGACCCTATAGAGCAGGGGGGGACCTATGGGGCAGGGGGTTCTATGGGGCAGGATCCAGGTGAGCTGTACTATAGGGACACTATAGAGCAAGCGGGTCCCTATAGGGCAGGGGGTTCCTATGGGGCAGCTGAGCTGTGCTATAGGGACCCTATAGAGCAGGGGGGGGACCTATGGGGCAGGGGTCCCTATGGGGCAGGGTCCAGCTGAGCTGTGCTATAGGGACCCTATAGTGTAGGGGGTCCCTATGGGGCAGGGGTTTCTATGGGGCGGCTGAGCTGTACTATAGGGTCCCTATAGTGTAGGGGAACCTATGGGGCAGGGGTTCCTATGGGGCAGGGGTTTCTATGGGGCGGCTGAGCTGTACTATAGGGTCCCTATAGTGTAGGGGAACCTATGGGGCAGGGGTTCCTATGGGGTCCCTATGGGTCCAGCTGAGCTGTACTATAGGGACACTATAGAGCAGGGGGGGACCTATAGGGCAGGGGTCCCTATGGGGCAGCTGAGCTGTGCTATAGGGACCCTATGGGGTAGGGGTTTCTATGGGGCAGGGTCAAGCTGAGCTGTGCTATAGGGACCCTATAGTGTAGGGGGGGACCTATGGGGCAGGGGTTCCTATGGGGTCCCTATGGGTCCAGCTGAGCTGTGCTATAGGGACCCTATAGAGCAGGGGGGACCTATAGGGCAGGGGTCTCTATGGGGCAGGGGATTCTATGGGGCAGGGTCCAGCTGAGCTGTACTATAGGTTCCCTATAGAGCAGGGGGTCCCTGTGGGGCAGGGGGGTCCCTCAAGATCCCTATGGGTCTCTATGGGGTCTCTATGGGTCTCTATGAGGTCTCTATGGGGTCCCTATGTGTCTCTATGGGTCCCTATGGGGTCTCTATGGGTCTCTATGGGTCTCTATGGGGTCTATGGGTCTCTATGGGGTCTCTATGGGGTCCCTATGGGTCTCTATGGGTCCCTATGGGTCCCCTTTACCCCTCTCTAACGCCCCCTGTACCCATTGCAGCGCCCGCGACGCCCCCATCGCTCTTCCCATTGGTGCCCTGCGGAGCCAGCCCCATAGCGAGCCCCATAGCGAGCCCCATAGCGAGCCCCATAGCGGGGTGCCTGGCGTCGGGCTTCACCCCATTGCCCGTGACCATGACCTGGACCCTCCCGGGGGGGGGGTCCCCATTGGTGCCCCCCAAGGCGTACCCCCCCTCTAGGGCCGCTATGGGGCTCTACAGGCAGGCGAGCGCCGTGGGGCTGGCTATGGGGCAGAGCGAGGCCACGTGCGCTGTGGGGCACCGGGCCACGGGGTTCAGCGGCAGCGTGGTTGTTAATGGTGAGTGATGGGGTGGAATGGGGTATAATGGGGGGGAATGGGGTGTAATGGGGTATAATGGGGTGTAATGGGGTTATAATGGGGTTATAATGGGGTATAATGGGGTATAATGGGTTATAATGGGGTGTAATGGGGTTATAATGGGGTATAATGGGGTATAATGGGGTATAATGGGGTTATAATGGGGTTAATGGGGTTATAATGGGGTGTAATGGGGTTATAATGGGGTGTAATGGGGTTATAATGGGGTTATAATGGGGTTATAATGGGGTGTAATGGGGTTATAATGGGGTGTAATGGGGTATAATGGGGTATAATGGGTTATAATGGGTTATAATGGGGTGTAATGGGGTTATAATGGGGTATAATGGGGTATAATGGGGTGTAATGGGGTTATAATGGGTTATAATGGGGTATAATGGGGTTGTAATGGGGTTATAATGGGGTGTAATGGGGTTATAATGGGGTTATAATGGGGTATAATGGGGTTATAATGGGGTTATAATGGGGTATAATGGGTTATAATGGGATTATAATGGGGTATAATGGGTTGTAATTAGGTATAATGTGTTATAGTGGGGTTATAATGGGGTATGATGGGGTGTAATAGGGTATAATGGGGTTAAATGGGGTACAATGGGCACAATGGGGTTATAAGGGGTTATAATGGGGTATAATGTGTTATAGTGGGGTGTAATGGGGTTATAATGGAGTATAATGGGGTGCAATGGGGTATAATGGGGTTATAATTTATTATAATGGGGTATAATGGGGTTATAATAGTATGAAATGGGGTAAAATGGGGTTAAATGGGGGTAAAAATGGGTTCTAATGGGGTATAATGGGGTAAAACGGGTAAATGGGGTGAAATGGATTGAAATGGGGTTAAATGGGGGCAAAATGGGGTGAAATGGGGGTAAATGTGGTTAAAATGGAGTACAATGGGGTGAAATGGAGTTAAAATGGATTATAATGGGGTTATAAGGGGTTTGAACTGGGGTGAATGAGGTTAAAGGGGTTCAGATGGATTATAATGGGGTTTGAACTGGGGTGAATGAGGTTAAAGGGGTTCAGATGGATTATAATGGGGTTTGAACTGGGGTGAATGGGGTTAAATGGGTTCAGATGGATTATAATGGGGTTTGAACTGGGGTGAATGGGGTTAAATGGGTTCAGATGGATTATAATGGGGTTTGAACTGGGGTGAATGGGGTTAAAGGGGTTCAAATGGATTATAATGGGGTTTGAATTGGGGTGAATGGGGTTAAGGGGGTTCAGATGGATTATAATGGGGTTTGAACTGGGGTGAATGGGGTTAAGGGGGTTCAGATGGATTATAATGGGGTTTGAACTGGGGTGAATGGGGTTAAAGGGGTTCAGATGGATTATAATGGGGTTTGAACTGGGGTGAATGGGGTTAAATGGGTACAATGGTGTTAACCTTGTGCTTCCTCGTGTCCTTCGTCACCTCCTCCTCCCCCTCCCCCCCCAGTGTCCCCCCCCCTCCCCCCCCACCTCGAGCTCCTCCACTCCTGCTCGGGGGGCTCCGTCCACGTCCTCTGCTCGGCCTCGGCCTTCTCCCCTCCCCCGCTGCGCCTCCATTGGCTCCTGGACTCGGAGCCCTTGGACCCGGCCCCGCCCCTCATCGAGGCCCCCAATGGGGACGGGACCTTCCGGGCCAGCGCCCGCCTCAACCTCACCGTGGACCAATGGCAGGAGAAGACCTTGGTGTGCGCCGCCACCCACCCGGCCACCGGCACCAGCCTCCAGCTGCCCGCCACCAAGTGCTTCAGTGAGTGCGGGCTCCATGGGGCTCCATGGGGCTCCATTGGGGTCCATTGGGGTCCATTGGGGTCCATTGGGGTCCATTGGGGTGGTGGCATCTCCATTGGGTTCCATTGGGTGGTGGCATCTCCATTGGGTTCCATTGGGTGGTGGCATCTCCATTGGGTTCCATGGGGTGGTGGCATCTCCATTGGGTTCCATTGGGTGGTGGCATCTCCATTGGGTTCCATTGGGTGGTGGCATCTCCATTGGGTTCCATTGGGTGGTGGCATCTCCATTGGGTTCCATTGGGTGGTGGCATCTCCATTGGGTTCCATTGGGTTCCATTGGGTTCCATTGGGTGGTGGCATCTCCATTGGGTTCCACTGGGTGGTGGCATCTCCATTGGGTTCCATTGGGTTCCATTGGGTGGTGGCATCTCCATTGGGTTCCATTGGGTGGAGGGGTCTTCATTGGGTTCCATTGGGTTCCATTGGGTTCCATTGGGTGGTGGCATCTCCTTTGGATTCCATTGGGTTCCATTGGGTGGTGGGGTCTTCATTGGGTGGTGGCATCTCCATTGGGTTCCATTGGGTTCCACTGGGTGGTGGGGTCTTCATTGGGCTCCATTGGGTGGTGGGGTCTTCATTGGGTTCCATTGGGTGGTGGGGTCTTCATTGGGTGGTGGGGTCTTCATTGGGTTCCATCGGGTGGTGGGGTCTTCATTGGGTTCCATTGGGTGGTGGGATCTTCATTGGGTTCCATCGGGTGGTGGGGTCTTCATTGGGTGGTGGGATCTCCATTGGGCTCCATTGGGTGGTGGGGTCTTCATTGGGTTCCATTGGCTTCATTGGGTGGTGGCATCTCCATTGGGTTCCATCGACCTTGCTTTGGCCTCTATGGGGCTCTTCTCTCATTGAATCAGGTGGTGGCACCTCCATAGGGCCCCATTGACCTTCAGTTGGGTGCTGGCACCTCCATAGGGCCCCATTGACCTTCAGTTGGGTGCTGGCACCTCCATAGGGCCCCATTGACCTTCATTTGGGTGGTGGCACCTCCATAGGGCCCCATTGACCTTCAGTTGGGTGCTGGCACCTCCATAGGGCCCAACCGGTTGGCGCCACCTCCACTGGTCTCCTCTCCCCTTCCCAGGCACCCCTCCGGACTCGAGCTCCATCCAAGTCTTCGTCCTGCCCCCGTCCCCATTGGACCTTTACGTGTCCCAGAGCCCCCGGCTCCGCTGCATGGCCACCAGTTTACCCAGTGACGAGGGCCTGGAGATCACCTGGAGCAAGGACCAAGGCCAGACCCTGAGCTCCAACCTCCTCCAAGTCAAGGCCCAGTTCAACGGCACCTTCACGGCCACCAGAGAGGTCCTGGTGTCCACCAGCGACTGGGAGAACGGGGTCACCTTCACCTGCAAGGTCCAGCACAGGGACCTGCCCTCTGACATCAGCCGCACCATCGCCAAGAAGCCAGGTAGGACCCGTAGGGTGGTGGCATCTCCATAGGGTTCCATTCATGGTGGTTATGGGGTAATGGGGTCTGCGTTTGTGGTGGTTATGGGGTCTCTGGCGTCACATCGGGTCGGTTTGGGTGGTGGTGTCTCAATAGGGTCCCTCCATTATCGGTTTGGGTGGTGGTGGCATCTCCATAGGGTTCCATTGATGGTGGGTTTGGAGGTGGTGGTATCTCAATGGGGCTCATGTATGGTGGTTATGAGGTCTCTGGAGTCACATCGGGTTCGTTTGGGTGGTGGTGTCTCAATAGGGTCCCTCCATTATCGGTTTGGGTAGTGGTGGCATCTCCATAGGGTTCCATTGATGGTGGTTATGGGGTAATGGGATCTGCGTTTGTGGTGGTTATGGGGTCTCCGGCGTCACATTGGGTCGGTTTGAGTGCTGCCGTCTCAATGGGGTTCCCCTATCATGGAGTGGAGTGGTGGTGGCATCTCCATAGGGTTCCACTGATGGTGGTTCTGGGGTAATGGGATTTCTGTTTGTGGTGGTTATGGGGTCTCCGGCGTCACATTGGGTCGGTTTGGGTGCTGCCATCTCGATGGGGTTCCCCTATCATGGATTTGGGTGGTGGTGGCATCTCCATAGGGTTCCATTGATGGTGGTTATGGGGTAATGGGATTTCTGTTTGTGGTGGTTATGGGGTCTCTGGCATCACATTGGGGTGCTTTGGGTGCTGCCGTCTCGATGGGGTTCCCCTATCATGGATTTGGGTGGTGGTGGCATCTCCATAGGGTTCCCTTTACGGCCGCTCTGGGCTGCTGGGCTTCATTCCACGGTGCTTATGGGGTGTCCCACACCCCAATGTCCCCTCAATGAGTGTCGTTGTCCCCCCCCACCCCACAGGCAAGCGCTTGACCCCCAGCGTGTACCTGTTCTCCCCTCCTCTGGAGGAGCTGAGCGGCTCCCGGCCCACGCTGAGCTTGACGTGCTTGGTGCGAGGCTTCTACCCAGAGTCCATCTCGGTGGAGTGGCAGAAGAACCAGGACCCCGTGGAGGGGCGGAGCTTCCAGACGACGGCGGCCATGAAGGAGAAGACGGGGGACGGCTCCTTCTTCCTGTACAGCCGGCTGGAGGTGACGAGGGAGGAGTGGGGCAAGGGGTCCACGTTCGTGTGCATGGTGGTGCACGAGGCCCTGCCCATGAGGTTCATCCAGCGCAGCGTCAACAGGAGCCCCGGTAAAAGGAAGTGAGGTTGGGGGGCGGGGTCTCCATGGGGATGGGAATAAAGGAGGAGATGATGGCTCAAGTGGTGTGTGTGGTTCTGTGGGGTGATGGGGGTGGGGTGGATGGGGATGGGTGGGGATGGATGGAGATGGGTGGAGATGGATGGAGATGGATGGGGATGGATGGAGATGGATGGGGATGGATGGGGATGGATGGAGATGGGTGGAGGTGGATGGACATGGATGGTGGATGGAGATGGATGGGGATGGATGGAGATGGATGGAGATGGATGGAGATGGATGGGGATGGAGATGGATGATGGATGATGGATCTTCCAAGCAAATTTGGGAAAATCCATGGAAAATTGGGAGATAAAATGAGGAAATTTGAGGAAAATCTGGGAAAATGGGGGTGAAACCAGGAGAAATTGGGGAAAATTGGGGGGAAACAGAGGAAATTTGAGGAAAACTTGGGGAAACTGGGGGGGGAAATGGAAGAAATTTTGGGGAGATTGGGAAAATCAGGCAGAAACTGAGGGAAACTGGGCAAAACTTGGGCAAAACCAGGAGGAAACTGAAGAAATTGGGGGAAATTGTGGAAAATTGGGTGAAATGAGGGGCCAAGGAAGGAAATTTCTGGGAAAAGTGGTGAAATGAGGGGAAATCAGGGAAAAACTGGGGAAATTTGAGGCAAATCGAGGAAAATTTGGGTGGAAACAGGAAAAATGGGGGGAAATGGGGATAAGTGGGGGAATTGAGGAAATTTGAAGCAAACTGAGGCAGATTTGGGGAACTCAGGGGGAAACCGAGGGAATTTGAGGAAAATTTGGGGAAATAAATGAAGAAGTGGGAAAATCTGAGGCACATTTGGGCAAATTAGGGGAAAATAGAGGAAATTTGGGGAAAAATGGGGGAATCAGGGAATGGCTGAGGAAATCAGAGGGAAATTTGGGGAAACTGGGAGAAAATTGAGGAGATTTGAGGGAAAATGGGGGAATTGGGGGAATTTAGGGGAGTTTGCATGGATCATGGGTGGAGACGGGTGGAGATGGATGGAGATGAATGGATGGAGATGGATGGGGATGGATGGAGATGGATGGAGATGGATGGAGATGATGATGGAGATGGATGGATGGAGATGGATGGATGGAGATGGATGGATGGAAATGATGATGGATGGATGGATGGAGATGGATGGATGGAGATGGATGGGGATGGATGGATATGAATGAATGGATGGATGGACCACTCTGTCCCCCCCTGTCCCCACCTGCAGAGATGCTCCTCCCTGAGGACCTTTGCCATGGGGACCCCAATGGGCCCTGGGACACCGTCGCCGTCTTCGTCACCCTCTTCCTCCTCAGCGTCTGCTACAGCGCCACCGTCACCCTCTGCAAGGTGGGGGTCTCCTATGGGGCCTCCTATGGGGCCTATGGGGCCCGGGGGTGGTGGGGAAGGGGGAGGGATGGAGGTGCTATGGGAGGTGGAGGAGGTTTGGGGGTTCCATAGGTGGTTGGAGGGTGGTTGGATGGGGCATTGGGTGGTGGGTGGCCATTGGGTGGCCATTGGGTGATGGTTGCCCATTGGTTGGTCATTGGGTGGCCATTGGGTGGCCATTGGGTGATGGGTGGCCATTGGGTGGCCATTGGGTGGTCATTGGGTGATGGTTGCCCATTGGTTGGTCATTGGGTGGCCATTGGGTGGCCATTGGGTGATGGTTGCCCATTGGTTGGTCATTGGGTGGTGGTTGCCCATTGGTTGGTCATTGGGTGGTGGTTGGTCATTGGGTGGTCACTGGGTGATGGTTGCCCATTGGTTGTCCATTGGATGATGGTTGCCCATTGGTTGGTCATTGGGTGATGGTTGGTCATTGGGTGATGGTTGGTCATTGGGTGGCCATTGGTTGCCCATTGGTTGCCCATTGTCTCCTTGCGTGCTCATTGGCTGCTGGCTGCTCCCCATCCGCAGGTCAAGTGGGTCCTGGCCACCCTCCTCCACCTCAAGCCAAGCCCCCCCCCCCACTACAAGAACGTCATGGACCACGTGGTCTAAAGGGGGGGGGTGGGGGGGGAGGCCTCCCATTGGCTGCTGGAGACAAAGCCACCAGGAGACCCAATGGGGTGGCGGGGGGATGGTGGGAGCCTGTGTGGAGCCATCAGGTCTACCTGCATTAGGGCTAGCAGGCCTATAGGGGTGCCCATTGGGGCTCATTGGGGGGCTATCAGGTCTACCTCCATTATGGGCTATAGGGTCTATAGGGTTTAGGTCTATAGGGCCCATTAGGTCTATAGGGTTGGGTCCATTGGGTCTACCTGTATTATGGTCCATAGGGTCTATAGGTCTATAGGGTCTATAGGTCTATAGGGTCTATAGGGTTTAGGTCTATAGGGCCCATTAGGTCTATAGGGTTGGGCCCATTGGGTCTCCCTGTATTAGGACCATCAGGTCTACCCCCAATAGGGCTATTGGGGGGCTCCCCCATTGGCTCCATCAGCAGGCACCCTTCGGACCCACAGCTGCAGCTGTGCAACGGTCCTGGCCCAAAATAGCCCCAAAAAGCCCCTTTTTCGCCCCATTTCCCCCATCAGCAACCACCGGCTCTCGCTTTCGACCGCGTTTTGACCGTTTCCCCCTTTTTTAGCCCCGAAAGCCAGTTTCGAAGGGACTAGATGGGAAAACGAGGGTCATGGGGGTTTTGGGTGGAAAACAGCTGGTTTTGGGTAAGAACGTTGTTTGGACAGGAAACGAAAGGTTTCGGGTGGCACCGAGCAAGCGTGGCCCAAATTAGGGGGAAAATCGTCATTTTCGGGTCAAACAACCCAAAACGGGGATGGGAAAACAGCCCCGTTCTAGGATTAGGATGAAGAAGGGGGGGGGGGGAATCAGTTCTGGGTCCAAACCCCTCATTTTAAGGGAAAAAACCAACAAAAACGCTGTGTTCGATGACAAAAACCTGCAATTTGACGGCAATAAAACCATCGTTTTAAGGCAAAAAAACCCCATCTGGTTTTAAGGCAAAACCCTTCATTTTAAGGCAAAAAACGCCTCGTTTTGGGTCAAAAGGAGGTTAAAAAAGGGCTCATTTTAAGCCAAAAAATAAAGGGTGTTTAAGGCAAAAAAAAGGACTAATTTTAAGGCAAAACCCCCTGATTTTATGCCCCTTCCCCTCGATTTGATGCCCAAAGCAGCGTTTTTGGGGTGAAAAGCAGCGTTTTATGGGCAAACCACGTTTTGGCACCAAACCCCACAAGTTTCACAGCAGAAACACACGGTTTAGGGCAAAACCACACTTTTTAGGACAAAAATCACACATTTTAAGGCAAAACCCCACTTTTTAGAGCAAAACCCACACATTTTAGGACAAAAATCACGCATTTTAGGGCAAAACCCTGCTTTTTAGGGCAAAACCCACACATTTTAGGACAAAAAATACACATTTTAGGGCAAAACCCCACTTTTTAGGGCAAAAGCACACATTTTAGGGTAAAATACACGTCTTACAGCAAACCCACACGTTTGTAACACAGAAAGCGCTCATTTTAGGGCAAAACCACGCATTTTACAGCAAAACCCAGGCATTTTATGACAGAAAACCCCCATTTTCCACCAAACCCACGCATTTCAAGGGGAAGAAACCCGATTTCCATCATTTTCACCCCAGAATCGCCTTTTCCTCCCCAAACCAGCCCCATTCTTCCAAAAACCATCATTTCCACATTGAATTGACCTAAAACTCCACTTTTTCACACTTCCCCCCAGGAAAATGTGAGAATCGGGGTGATTTTACCCCAAACCATGAAATTCGGCACAAAATGACCCAAAACCTGCCTTTTTTCGGCGAAATCCAACCGAAACGCACAAATCTTGATGCTTTTTGTCCCAAAATCGTCACTTTTTTGACCCCGAAATCTTCGTTTTCGGCTTCCAAACCGCATCACTTTTCCGGCTCTTTTTCACCCCAAAATCTTCCTTTCTCTGCTCCAAAAAGCTTCATTTTTCACGGCTCAAAAAAATCGACATTTCACCCCCAAAAAATCTTAATTCTTTCACTCCAAAATCTTCACTTTTTCACCCCAAAAAAAGTCTTTGCTTTTGGCTTCCGAAACTGTCATTTTTCACCCCCAAATCTTCATTTTAGGGCCATAAAAACCCCTTTTTCTGCCCCAAAATCACCGTTTCCCCACATTTAACCCCAAAACCGCTCCTTTTGGGGTCAAACCCCCCAAACTTGCCTCTTTTTAACCAAAAACCACCATTTTGGGGCTGGTTTTAACCTCAAACCCCGCTTTGCCACCCCATTACCAGCGCGATGCTGCCCCCTGGTGGACTGCCCGCGCCTCGCACCTGATTGGCCGACAGCGCGGCGCCGCCCTCCACTCGCGCTCTCTGATTGGTCAGGACCTCAATCGCCTCAAGAAAGGGTGGGAAAAGCCCGATTTTGGGTCAATTTGGGCCCAAAATGGGGCATTTTGGACGCGAAGGAGCTCCGTGGCTCTAAAGGGGCTCCCTATGGGCACGAAGGTCACCCCCAAGGCCCATCTATTGCCCCATAGAGCCCCATAGCATGGACCTATGGGCCTTCAGGTCCTTCAAGATACATAAGAACAATGGGGCTTCTTATGGCCCATTGAGGTCCCTATGGACCTTCAGGACCTCCGAGACCCCATAATTGCCCCATAGAGTCCCATAGCATGGATCTATGGGTCCATGGGCCTTCAGGTCCTTCAAGATACATAGCAATGGGGCTTTTTATGGCCTATTGAGGTCCCTATGGACCTTCAGGACCTCCAAGGCCCCATAATTGCCCCATAGAGCCCCATAGCATGGACCTATGGGTCTATGGGCCTTCAGGTCCTTCAAGATACATAGCAATGGGGCTTTTTATGGCCTATTGAGGTCCCTATGGACCTTCAGGACCTCCAAGGCCCCATAATTCCCCCATAGAGCCCCATAGCATGGACCTATGGGTCTATGGGCCTTCAGGTCCTTCAAGATACATAGCAATGGAGCTTCTTATGGCCCATTGAGGT